GGCAAACGACAATCTAATGAAGTTGTTCCTGATCTGTTTCAGGCAATTATTCTTACTCTACCTCTCCTCAACAGCTTCCACAGAAATCATTATACGAGGCTCCGAGTCTAGCGGCCATATGTCAGGCAGTCTATGGTCCCACGTGGAACTGCCATTGCCGAGAGAGACTTTGCTTGCCTATTGCGCAGATAGCCATACTAAAGTTGGAAATTTTCTTCGACTCTTTGCTACATTTCTCGCATGTTTCATTAACTTTAAGTCTATAAAAGCCATCCTTGACAAAAGCTTTGACCTACTTAAGTATTATTTTAAATTCTTTTCTCAACGATTAGAAAAAGTTCATTCTTCCGTATTGCGGAAGAGAAGTTCGGTGAAAGTTTAGTGTTAATAATGTTCCTCAATGACTTGAGTTTATCAACAAGAGCTACAACAGGGATTAAAAAAAAATATGCAAATGATGAGAAAGTAAATAAATTAAGTAAAATAATAATAATAAAAATGATTTATGATCAAAATTCGAGGAATGAATCACCACTACTTATTGCTTGCCTTCACACTTTCAATTAGTTCATTGCTTTAATGCATGTACTAGTACATATAAATCGAAAAATGTGAATAGCAATTCGCCGATAAAGTACAAAGTTTGCGATCGTACCATTCGATTTCACCTTTAAGTAGTTTAACTGGAAATCAGAAATGGAAAAAAACCAGACCAATAAAAATGTAGTATTTGCAAAGGTGTGTACTTTCGAAGGTTTTATTTATGCGTTGAAATGACATAAAATGTATGCCATTTGGAAACAGACATATTTTAATGCCCTACATGGTCATTCAAAATTTTGCCATTTAATGCCTAGTGGAAATTCAGCATTAGACAAAACAATATGCCGGTTTTAATGTACGCATATTTTTATGCGTTTTAAGTCTGTAGCTGCATGTGTAAGTATCACTATGAAGAATGAATGAGTACAAAAAGTCTTTAGTTCTGCAGGAAGTAAGGATTATTGTTCTTAAGTGTAAAATTATCTTAAATTTCCTAAGTTGAAATCCTTTTGGCTTTTTCAGGTTCAGGCTTGACATAAATTTTTTTTTTCCTTAGAAGTGTCAAAATGTACGCGCGAGTACAATGGAACTATGCAGTTTCACCATCAGAGAGAGCTTTTGCTCTTCACTTTTCCCCTTAAAAAAATCACAATCGAAACATATACCATGATAAAAATATAGTAAGGTAGAACTGCTGAGAGTCACTTTTAAAATTCTTGACGTTTCCAAACAATTTAATTTTTAAATTTACTCACAACAATTTCGAACAATTTCAATTTTTTATTTTCACTTTTATATGATTTTAAAATGTTGGCAAACTTCGAAAAAAATCATGGCCGACAAATTGAGAGAACGGTTCTACCTTGCTAAATTTTTATCATGACATATACCGCGGGAGAAGCTTTTTAAAGTTTTCTATAGTTTTCCACTTATTTCAAATTGTATCGGCGGGACAAGCTTTGAAAACTTTCTATGTATAATATTTAAACGTTTGTAAAGTTAAAGCTGTATTTCACCGTCACTCAACTATAAACAATATTTCTTTGAAAAAGTAATAGACTTATTAATTTAATTAAATAATTTAATTAATAGACTGACGGCGGCTGAAGCTTTTTCAAGCTTTCTATATATTTTATTTAGACGTACACGTAGTAGAAGTTCTTTCTGATCATCACTTACATAAGAGAAAGCTTCTACTCCGCACGTGGCTATGCACCAGATGTACAGAAAGCTCAAAACAAGCTCTGGAAATAATGGAAAAAGTTTTAAAAAGCTCCAGCGAATAGTTAATTCTCTGAATATGTGTGCAGGTAATCTCAGCTTGAAGCTCATATCATGTTCTGGATAAAACGTGGCTAGTCGAAACACAAAGCAACTACAACTCTGGTCGAATTGTTGTAAAAATCTCTGATAAAACATTTGCTTTCTACAATTGCTATATTTTGAAAAAGCTCTTTATATAATAACTAAAAACGAACAGCAAAACTTTTAAGAACTTGCTCAAGTAGAGAAAAGAAGGAGGAAAAGGATGTAGGAAGAGGAAGAGAAGAAATCAATTACTTACTGCGAATAAATATGGGTTACTGCCATACCTAAATATACAAAAGCGTTGGACTGACGGTTTCTGACGCCTTGATTGTGTGTAGCACGAAAATTACAGTTTCGCCGTTTTCTGCAGCCAACATCATTACCTAACGTGCTGTCAAAGTCGGATTTTCCAACCGCTCATCGTTGACGCCGCGTTGTTTCGGTATGCTTCATACAAATTGTAAGGGCACGAGAATTTTTTGACAGCCAGACAACGCTGACGCTTTTGTTGAGGTATGGCAGTTAGGTGATTCAAACTGGAAAAGTTGGTAAAAAGTCTTTATGAATTCAAATGATTAATTGCCAAATGAAATACGTCAGCATTATTTCGATATGGCAATTTTGATGCAGTTCAGTTCATGCAAAAGCGCTCTAATGAAATGCATCAAATTTGCCATATCAGAAAAATGCCGGCTTATTCCTTTTGGTAATTACCCAATTCAATTTTATAGGCGATCCGAAAAAGAAGCAATTAATATGGAAGCATTTAGTTTTGGCAATTTGTGCTGCGACAGCGACCCGGCATTCTACAGCAAGACCTTTTTTTACTCGGCCCTCTTAGCAAACATCGCTCTAAGCAGTTAAGCAAATGTGCATTTTGTTCTTATCGCCAAACTTTAGTGGGTCTGCACTCATTTTTTGTTTACTTTAACAAATACCAGCTCAGTGTATTGCTTATAAATTTATTTTTAGTTTTTGCTTGTAGATTCTTCTTTATGTTTGCATAATTTGCAAGCATTTTAATGAGCAATTGAATGAGCTGCAAATATACACAAGAAACATACACGCACAACTTGAACTTGGAAGGCAATTGCAAATTAATTAATGGACGATTAGCGAATTGCAAAAAAAAAAAACATAAATATGAGACTGCTTTGTGTTTGCTTGAACCATGTACAAACATACATATGTAAATACCTGCATACACATGTACGTAGATTTTGCATTGCAAAAATTAATTAAAAATGTCGTCAAGCCCATAAGCCTTCCATACTCCATATAAAAAAAGTCTAATAGCTGAACCAATTAAAGCAAATACAAATACATATTTTTCTTTTTGTTTTGCACAAATTCCCTAGACATTAGACACTGGCTGGCAGTGAGACTGTTTAAGAACTTTGTCATGGTATTTGCACTTTTAATTAGTGCGTATACTTTCTTTTATGAATGCATATTTACTTTATTTTTGATTTTACTTTTTTTGTTTTTGTTTTGCAGAGAACGCCTAGACGAGTATAGTAAGTTTGCGGCGCACAAGCACAAATATGAGATTGTTCCGTCGACCGATAAGGCTCGACAGCAAACCCAACATTATCAACATGAACAAGCCGTACTACAATTACAACAACATAATCAACAAGTGCATCACCCACATTCTCAACCACATTACACGTCGCAACGTCGACTTTCACATCTCTCATCGATCGCTNGACAGCAAACCCAACATTATCAACATGAACAAGCCGTACTACAATTACAACAACATAATCACCTTAATCATCAACAAGTGCATCACCCACATTCTCAACCACATTACACGTCGCAACGTCGACTTTCACATCTCTCATCGATCGCTTCGTATCTGTCAGCGGTGCCGGATGAGAAGGCGGCAATTCGTGGTGTATTTCATCAGGTAAGAATATGTATGCGGCGTGCATGCTGCTTTTGCATCGAAGTATGTATGTATAAGTAGCAGTCGTTCATTATGTTAAGTTGAGGCGGTAATCTGCTTATTCGGGGATTACTCGAAGTATTCTGAAATAATATATGATTTTGCATTGACACGCTTGCGTAAAGCTGCATTCCATTGAATTTCAAGTAAACTTCTGGGTTAATAAAATACGCGCAACCTTCTCTCAACGTCTTCAGAGTTAAGTGACAACAATTATTTATTAGGAACTGCTAGTCTTCTTTCTTAAGCAAATATCAGCTGGAAAGCTTTTAAATCCAAATACTACTAACCTTTCATGTTGAAGCTGTTCAGTAAATAAAAGAGCGGAAAAATTTTGTGGTGGGACAAGGGCGAAAATTTTCCCAGTNTGGGTTAATAAAATACGCGCAACCTTCTCTCAACGTCTTCAGAGTTAAGTGACAACAATTATTTATTAGGAACTGCTAGTCATTTCTTAAGCAAATATCAGCTGGAAAGCTTTTAAATCAAAATACTACTAACCTTTCATGTTGAAGCTGTTCAGTAAATAAAAGAGCGGAAAAATTTTGTGGTGGGACAAGGGCGAAAATTTTCCCAGCTAAAATCTGTGCCCACGAATGCTTTCGTAGAAGGACGAACAGCATCAAAAGTCTCGAACTAACGCAAAACGATGTCAAGGCTAGCAAGCAGTTGCAAAAAAGGTGCTGAGCAACCTAGCAACACGTAACAAGGTTACTTTGTGGGGGCATTAATTGCAACAAAAAGGCTAATACACTCGCGAGATCCGAGCCTATGTGGTCCTTGAAGCCTTTCTGTGGTACCTGGCACAGCTTCCCATTAGGTGGAAGGACTAGATTTGAGCTCGATCACTGGTCCGAACAGAAACTAATTTAGAAAAAGTTTCTTCTAACAACCGTCGCCCCCGGCAAACTATAGCAAACTTCCGAGCAGTGTTGCCGTTGATAATTTTCAGAAAGTCGCAAAAAAGAGGTCATTGACGAAAAAAAGGGTCACCATATCGAGCCTTAACCGCCAAAATAACGTAAGCGAAATTTTTTTTCAAAATTTTCTTTTTAATGCAGAAATGTATCTAGATGCTCTAGGAATATTTCTGCATCAAAAAGAAAATTTTCAAAAAAATGTCGCTTACGTTATTTTGGCGGTTAGGGCACGATATTATTTTTGCTTTTCTTTACTAGCAAGAGAATAACGGGCCGATTCCGAACAGAAACTCTCTGGGAGTTTTCTCCCTTTTCCCTTTCCTACTATCATGAATAAAAATTTCCTTTTTTTATTTTAAATGGCAGAGTTGAGCTCTCAAATAAGTGTCAAACAGCTTTTTCGAAGTTCGAATTTCCTTCTATTGGAGGATTTCTTTCTGGGGAGAAACCAATTCCCGGAGGACAAACTCCCCGGGAGTATTAAGAATTGGGCGGTAAATCTGTTGAATTTAATAAGAAAATAGCGGCGTTGCATAAAACAGGGTTGCAAACATACACATAAATCTAGTTGCTGCTAGAAGAATTACATTTCCTTTAAAATTTTTAAGTGATGCAGTTTTTAGTACTTTTAGGAGGGAATATTTTTTAATTGCATGGTTATCATTTCCTAAAAAAATCTCTGAAAAAGAGCAAAAGTCGCACATGATTTTGGAAAAGGATCAAAAGATACAAATTTTCAAAAAGTCGGGTCAAAGGGTATTGGCGCTTAAAAAGGGTCAAATTGCCCCTTTAGTCGCACAATGGCAACACTGCTTCCGAGTGTACTCAGCCATGAAAACGATTCACATAAAACCCATTTCCCATTCAGAGGTGGCGTAAAACTGTAGGTTGCTCTATTTGTGTAACAACGTCAAGGCACACACCACAAATTGGAGGAGAAGCTCAGCACTTAGCAAAATATTATTATTATTAAAAAAATAATAACCTTTCCTTTTTTTAACACATTTGTTTTTGTATGCAAAAACTTATTTTTTCATTCATTTTCCCAATTTAGCTCGGCGACTAAAAATTAAAGCAATGAGTTTAGTGAACCAAAACAATCAGTGCGCTCATCAATATGCAAAATATTTGAGTTCAATTTTAAATATGTACATATGTATGTATGCATGTTAATGAAAAACAAAAGTACTTATATCATTTATAGAAAACAATAGACAAACCAGCCGCTTTAGGTGTTATGTAGGTCAAAAAAGTTGTAAGGAACTCTAAAATAGAAGCTACTATTTATTNGTTTAGTGAACCAAAACAATCAGTGCGCTCATCAATATGCAAAATATTTGAGTTCAATTTTAAATATGTACATATGTATGTATGCATGTTAATGAAAAACAAAAGTACTTATATCATTTATAGAAAACAATAGACAAACCAGCCGCTTTAGGTGTTATGTAGGTCAAAAAAGTTGTAAGGAACTCTAAAATAGAAGCTACTATTTATTAGAATGGACATGTCAATAAACTCGAGCTCCACCAAAAAAAAAAAAAAAAACAATAGAAAAACAGGTGTTGCGGAGCAGACAAAGCAAATGCGGACAACTGTTTCTGACAAATCGAAAAAGCAGCAAAAATGGAATTACGAAATATACGGAAATTAAAAAACTTCAACAAACAACAACACAATAAATAAACGGTGGTAATTTGAAATCATAACAAATGATTAAGAGAAGAATAAATAAATTTACAAAAATTAAAAAAATATAATAATAAAATAATATAAAATAAAATAAAATAAAATAAAATAAAATAAAATAAAATAAAATAAA